GAATGAAAAGGATAAAGAAAAATAAGTATCGGAATCAAAGTATTTATGATTATTTAAGTATTTTTTTATTTATTTAGATTTAATGAAAAAAACATTAACTTTTTAAATACAATATTTTGTTTCGTTTAAAACTAGTTTCGCTTAGGTAAAAAATATTAATAAGAAAATCTGTTTTTTAAAAATCATAATAAGAAATCAACTTATTTCTAAATGCTCTAAAAAATCTTGTTCTTGTCCATATTTTGTTCAAAATTTCAGTAATGTTCTTGGTGAATAAAATAACTTAGAGCATTGTTTTCTTTAACGCTAACTTCTGGACACTTTCTCTGCTTTTTTGCTACCTCATGCTCCCAACCAATTTAATACAGAAATCCAATTTCCTTTAAAGCGACTGCAATCTACTTGAGGTGAAATGGAGTATAATTTGCTTTAAAAATTTTACTACAAAGGCATTTAAGAAAGCACAGACAAAAACTCGTACAATTATGTGGCATGACAAACGAAAAGGAGCAATATAGAATGATGCCACATGAAAATCAAAACAGAAGCACAGATAGTGATAAAAAGTTTTAATCCTAACAGGAAGTACTTACTATTTTTTTTTTTTTGTTGTTCGGTAGAATGCAATTAAAACACGGACCTAAAAATTTTCACCGGCAGTAAATTTGGCGGAAAGTTATGCTGCTTAAGATTAATGTATTTACCGTTTATTTGACTCTGGTATTGCACTTATACATATTAACTAGAGAACTGTTCTAAATGGTAAATTACTATATGAATTTCATCTAGATATTTTAAAATTTTAGTTGCAATTCATTTCTTATAATACGAGGAAATTGTTTTGAATCGGATAATTATTATATTTACTTAATTCAGACATTGCTAACTTTTAGATAAAATTTATTTGTTATATTCGTACTAAAATAAATTTGTATTAACTTTTAATTGCTCTGATAGATAAATTACCATGTATATATTAATATATGAACATGCTATACATTATTCTGATAGGTCACTTTTTTTTATATTTCATATGAATTGAATGATTCTTTTAGAAAATTAAAAATGTCTGCTTATAGAGCAAAGCTTTACAGGCAGAGTAAAATATTTTTGTATTAACTACTAATTGTTCTGATAGATAAATTACTATACACATATTAATATACGAATAGGCTATAAATTATTCTGGTAGTTCACTTTTCATTATATTTCATTTGAATTGAATGATTCTTTTATAAAATTAAAAATGTCCGCTTGTAGAGCAAAGCTTTAAAGACAGAGTAAAATATTTTTGTATTAACTACTAATTGTTCTGATAGATAAATTATCATACACATATTAATATACAAATAGGCTATAAATTATTCTGATAGGTCACTTTTCATTATATTTCATTTGAATTGAATGATTCTTTAATAAAATTAAAAATGTCCTCTTGTAGAGCAAGGCTCTACAGGCAGAGTAAAATATTTTTGTAATAACTTTTAATTGTTCTGATTGATAAATTACCTTACACATATTAATATATTAACATGCTATAAGTTATTCTGATTGGTCACTTATTATCGTATTTCATTTGAATTGAATGATTTTTTTTAGAAAATTAAAAGTGTCTGCCTGTAGAGCAAGGCAAATGTAAATGAATTGACGGAGTGAAAGTTCAATGATCCGTTAATATTCTTAAAAAGGCATTTCACCTTCACCTCAATCCCCTCCCTACCTGTCAAATCGGATTTGTTTCTTTTCATTACTAATTCAGTATTTAAATGTGCAACTTTAGACTCACAATGTTATTGTAGACTAAGTAATAAATCATGCAAAACACCAATAACTGTGTCATTATTTCTAAAGAAAATTACTCAGGATTTTTTTTTGTCTGTTGCCTCTATTTTTATTTATAGTGATTGAAGAAAACAATTTGCTTTAATTAGGAAGTAATTAAATATTACACTTTTCAGGCATTTTTGCACGCATTCACACAATTTAATTTGTAGTGCATTTCTAAAGTGGATCCCGAGCATATTTTAATTTTTTTTTTTTTAAGAAGAGTATAGAATTTTTGTGTGGTTTTGTACTCTTTAATGAGTATTTAAAACTCCTTCGCAAGTTTTGCCCTAAGAATTTTTAAAGATTAAATAAATATATTTTTAAATCTAATGAAATTTATATTTTAAAAGCTTTATGAAAAGATTTTTTTTAAAATGATCGATATAACTCAAAATATTATGCTTTAACTGTATAAAAATTGTCAAAACATTTTTTGCTAACATTAAAAAAAATCAAAAAATTTTCTCTCTTCTTATGTGCATATTTTTTTTTTGCTGCTATTTTATCTCCTTCTGAAAAGAAAATTTAAGTAAAATATATGAAACATATGTAGATCTATATAGATTTTCCAAATTTTAAAGAATTATAAATTTCATTTTTTGGGCTATATAGTTTTAAAGCATTTAATGATCCCGCCTTATTTAATATTCAATAAAAAGAAGAAAAAACCGAAAATAAGTTTATATCTTACATTTATATTATTACATTTTATTATTATTAACTATTGTGTTTATATTATTATATTATATCATTATCAATTATTGCATTTATATTATTAATTACATTATAATTATTATTATTTTAGATAATATTATTATTATAGATGATATTTATTAATATATCTTGCATATTCATTCAGCACAATTCAACACATTCTTTTTGTTTCATCATTTTTAAACAACAATAATAATAATTCCTAAAATCTTGAAAATTATTCCTAACCCGTTATATGCGCATGATTTTATTCCACTGCATGCGATTCACGAATGGAAAAGAGCAAGACGGCATAGGAAAACCTGGCTTTTAAAAATTTTTTTTATTGTAGCATTAATGCTATCGAAGGCAGCAGATTGAAAGTTGGCTCCCAAATGGTGAGTTCGATGAAGCAAACTTACTGGCTATCCTAATGAAAGTGGTTAATATTTGTGCATAAAATATCATTTATTAATAAGGGCATATTTATGAAAATTGCAAAGTTAATAAAGAGATGACACTTTTGAATTTAAAAAATATTAAAAAAGTAGTCCATTTTTAAAAAATTTTCCCCGAAGTTTGAAGAAACAGTTCTCGCATGGAACAGTTAAGCATTTGATTCTGTTCTGATATTAGAAAATTTGTCATATTCGGAAGAATAATCTCGTAGCTCATATAAAATTAAAAAGAATTGCCTCTCTGTTTTTGTTCACACATTTAACTAAGGAATGCTTAATATTTTCAAAATTGAACATATTGCAAGTTTAAAAAGGAATACTAGACATTTATTAGTAAAAAATTAAGAGCAAATCAATGTGTTATTAGAAGAAATAAAAGATTAAATAGAAATTATGGGGGGAAAAAGTTGTTGGTAACTTAAGAAGTTATTAATCATTTATACTGCTGCCATCTGTTGCAATTATTTTTTAACAGAATGTTCCAAACAAATAATAAGAAATTAGAATAAAATAAATAAATGTTACACATTTCTTTGATTCTCATAATAAAATGAGCCCCTTTCGGTTTTTTAAATTTTGAAGATAACTTTCATTCCAAAAAATCTTTAATATTTACTGACTCAAAATCTCCCTTCAAAATGAGTAGTTTGTGAAAAATAAATAATGATTTCGAACAAAAATAAAAAATAAAAATATCAAAAAAAACAAACAAACAATTAAATGATGAAATCTCTATTTTTTTGCTGAAAATTTTAGGTTACAATATGCTCATATAATTCAAGATTTTTTCTCGAAATAATTTATTAATATAGCTGAAGATAAAATTTTTACAAAGTTCAAGAATATTTCTGCTAAAAGCTGTTCTATGTATAATTTATTCAGATAATTCTTTTTCTTTTCTTTCGAATTTCTACTCAGATTTATTTTAGAGCCCAGATAATTTAATTAATCGATACGATAATTTTTATAGCCCAGAAATTTAAAATGTAATTATAACGTTTTGTTATAATATAAAAATTTAGACGCTCAGAAATATGAATAATTACCAGCAATGTGCACATTTAGCTACACAATCACGAATTCTGAATTATTTTACGCCATAATTTTTTTTAAAATAAGGTTAAATCCATCGTCATAATATTATAATATTTTTTACGATTGAGTATCAAATATTTTGCGACTTAAAATTACCAAACACCATAAAATAATTAAATCGCTTGGATCCAAATATCTTCAAACTATGGATTCAAGACTATAAGTCTGATAATTATGAATTATTATTTTGTTGTTTATTTTCTGCATCTATTTTCTGCATCTATTTTCTTACTTTCTATTTCTATGAAGCTGGGAAATGAATGAACGTAAATTACATTGCCGTTTTCATTATTCATTTCACTTATTAGTTAGATATATATTAATCACCATCTATTCATCCATTAATTTGATAATGAATTCTTTCTTAAAACTTGACGTAATACGAAAGTGTCGATAATAATCATCCCTGGCATGTATTTTTCGAATTCTTCTCAACAATTAGACGAAAATAAGTACCTACATTAGGGGATCCCAAGTTATTATTTTAAGGAATAAGAAACGAAAGCGTTATCGAAATGAAGCGAATCACTACTGAGGAAGACTGGACTAAAAGCATCAAAATTATTTCGGTTGACAGTGAAAACAGAAGTTGTAAGGCAATGTTTAGAGACACGTCCTTATTCCATCTGGCAATCAATTTTGTTTTGATGTTATGGTGACGCCTTCCTCGGTAGTGATTTGTCAGATTTTTATACTGTTTTTGTTTCTTCGTCCCCAAATTATTATGCAAAATGTGTAGATATTTTTATTTTGGTTTCGACAAGGATTTAAAAAAGCTTAATAAAATGGTAGGTTAATTCATTTATATTCAAGAAATGCAGATGAGTGTTTTATAAATGTAATTAAATGATCTATTTTAATAACAATAATAACAACAAGAGAATGAAATAACAGAAATAACAGCTTGAAAATAGTTATAAAAAAAAGTTAAATATTTATGTCAATAACAGGTGCTTTTGCTCCTTCCCATCTTCGGATGAAAACTACCATGTCGTAAACACAGCTGACTAAATGCATTGTGGCCAAAACTAAACCTGTATACTGCAAAAATAAATATATAAAATAAGAAATGATAATAAACTATACAAGTGATAAAATGAACTAAATTCTGTTTTATGATATGCGGAAAAAAAGGACATTTCAGGCGGATATTAAAAATTTCATTCGTTTCAAAAATAGACAAATTGGAAAGAGAGGTCGACATGTTTTAAGCACTCAAAAATGGGCAATAATTTTTGATCGCTTGTAACATGTCGACAGTCATTTCCAATAACGTCTGGCAAGTCGTGAAAATGGGGGCCTATTTTCAGTTTCTGGGGATTATTTATTTAATTTCAGTCTGATGCTATATTATGATTTAGTAAATATGATTTAAAGTATAAAAATTCTCCTTTTATATTCTTACCAAGGTTCTGGGTTTGAATCCCGGGCAAGGTATGGATGTTCTTTCATTCTCTGTACTATCTGTCCTTACTGTGGGAGAAACGTTGGCCCAACTAATAGGGTGCCCCTGAAGGAGTGGTCAACAAATCTGCCCTTCAGATGCCTGTATGACCTTGGTCATTCTCCTGGTGGGCATTGGAGAAAAAAAAATTCCTCCCAAGGTACCTAAAATACATTTACTCTAAAAAAAATTTTTTTTCCTACACCGATTTTTAAAAAAAACTTTATCAGTGAATCGATATGTTGCCATAATGTCCGATCCAATGCATCTGCAACTCCGAAAAAAAAAATGATGCATGTGTTACTCTCATTGCTGCCGATTTAGGTTTTGTTCCACCAACGCACGATTTTTTTCTTCCTTCTTTTTATTCTCTGGTCACTTAATTTCGTGCTGGAAACGAAATTCAATTTGCTACCTAAAATACTCGACTCAATGTTACTCTGGATTTTTTTTTTTGGTGCAATTTTATGATTATTCATTCTTTGAAGAAACATTTCTGATGCGTTACATAGATCCAGACATAATTATGTACAAGAATTGTATTCTTTTTTTTTACAAATTGTATTGCTCAGCACAACGGTTATAAGCTTGGTTGTATGGTAGGTAGGGCACATCAGAAGAATTTAAAACTACATAGCAACCCATAACCGGAAAAGTCGTCATACGCCGCAGGGAGCGTTTCCACTACTATTGACCAGCTCCTCGTGGCCACTTAATTACTATTTTTATTTACCAAAATTATCATAATTTCTGTTTTCTTAAAAATTTCATGGAAAATTGGATTCAAATTGGCCCAGAAATAGCTGCCTTATTGTAATTTACATTCATCAATTTAATTATCGAGCTCTGCATGTTGAATCACCAAAACCATCGTTGTCAATAGTCCATTGGGCAGCTCTAGTGCGACGCAAATGAACTACAACAACAAGGTAAAGGGCGTAAATTTAATGCAATCCTCATTCAAAAACTCATCGTACTTCTAGTGCATTACGAACTTCATGTTCAAATCCATATATGGCAGTACTTTTACTTTCGTTACTTGTACCGCCGGTACAAGTAAAAAGTACGTACTTTTACTTGTACTTCGTTACTTTTTAAATTTGGTACTTTTACTTGTACTTTCGTTACTTTTTTAGGGAAAAAGTACAAGTATTTGTAACGGAAATGTTGAATGAAATCGTTACTTTTTTCTAAAACTCGGTAAGCTTTCTAAAAA